ACTAATTAAGGAAAGATGCAATCTGGAATTAAGGAGAAACTTCCTAACAGTGAGGATCCTGTAGAGATCCGGACCCTTACCACCCTCCCGGCCTTCCGTAAAGCCACCAAGACCTGGCTGTTCCGGCAGGCTTGGGGCTGTTGATCAATATCCAGCCCCACTTAGACGGAATGCATGATGTGGAATTTTAACAATTGTATTTTTTATTTTTTTATTTTTAATTGTTTCTTTTTACCTTGCCTGTAAGCCGCCCAGAGTCCCAAGGGAGTTGGCGGCATACAAATCTTATTAAACTAAAACTAAACTAAACTAAACAATTAACCAGGAGAACAGCTTGCCTCCAGAAGTCCTAGGTGCTCCATCAATGGAGGATTCTAAGAAGAGACTGGACACAGCCAAATTGTCTGAAATGGTATAGGATCCCATGCATGGATTGGAAACCCTTCAAGGTCTCTTCCAACTCTGTTATTCTGTTATCATCTACCCATATACCGTATTTTACTGTGTATAAGACACACTCCCCCCCCCCCAAAAAAAAGTGGGTGGAAATGTCTGTGGTCTTAGAGAGAGAGAATGTTGCAAAAGCCCTGCCTACCCACAGGCGCCCACCCTTTGGCTTCTGCCTCCCAGCAATTTGCCTCCTTGCAGCAAACAGCATGGTCAGCTTCAGCATAGCCTGATTTAGCACAAGCAGCTGACTGGCAGTTGGATCTGCCTCCCAGAACACCTCTGATCAGCTGTTCCAGGCTGTGGGGATTGCAACCGCTCATTGCCGCCACCACTGCTGCCGCCCACCACTGCCTCCGTGCACTCCATTTTCAGCCTCCGCATGTCCCATTTATGGGCACTTCAAAGATACAGGAATTGGTGGTGGTGGCAGCGCGGACAGGCCAAAAATGGGGTGTGCAGAGGCCAAAAATGGGGCATGTGGAGGCCAAAAACGGGACATATGGAGGTCAAAAATGGGGTGCGTGGAGGCGGCGATAGGTGGCAGTGGCAATCTCCGCAGCCTGGAACAGCTGATTGGAGGTATTCCAGGAGGCCAATCCAACTGCCAATCAGCTGCTTATGCTAAATCAGGCTGTGCTGAAGGTGACCAGGTTGTTTGCTGTTTGTTTAAAGGAGGCAAATTGCTGGGAGGCAGAGGGAGATTTTTTTTCTTGTTTTCCTCCCCAAAAGCTGGGTGCGTCGTATAGTCCGGAGCATCTTATAGTCCAAAAAATACGGTACTTATGATTCCCCCCCCCCCCATTATACATGCTGACGCTTTCAGTTAAGGCCCTAAAAATGTTTCTCTATGGTATTTCTTAACCTGTGAAACCTCTTTCCCAGCAAGATTCATAGGGAATCTGCCTAGTGTTAGGGATGGCAATGAAAATTTAAATGACTGGGATAACTTGTAGACAAGCTCACACAGCTGGGCAGGATCAGAATAGCAAGAACTACATGGACCTCCATAAGGTATCTTTAATACCACTCTTGAAGTAAATCAACTTATGACCACAACTGAGCCCACAATTTATGTTGTTAAGCAAGACATTTGTGAAGTGAGTTTTGCCCCATCTAACGGTCCTTCTTGCCACAGGCGTAAAATGAATTACTGCAGTTGTTAAGTTAGTGACACTGTTGTTAAGTGAATCTGGCTTCCTCTTGACTTTGCTCATTAGAAGGTCACAAAATATGATTACATGATCCTGGGACGCTGCAATGGTGGTCATAAATAGGAATAGTTGCCAAGCATCTGAGTTTTCATCTTGTGACCACAGAGATGCTCCAACGGTCGTTAAGTGTCAAAAATGGTTAGAACTCCCTTTTTTCCAGAGTTGTTGTAACTATGAATGGTCGCTAAATGAACTTTGGAAATTGAGAATGACCTGTACAGAATCTTGGAAACTGCAGAAGGAAGTTTCAAGCCTCATTTATAGTGACTTCATTAAAACGGAGTCCCTTTGACATAATATAAAGGGTTTTCCCCGAGATTTCTGGGCACCTGAACTGAACTGCTATTTATAAAATGGATTTCCTTGCTACCTCTTGAATGCTTAGGCTCGTGATGGTGAATCTATGGCATGCATGCCACAGTTGGCACGGGGAAGCATTTCTTAGGGCACGTGAGGCGTTGCCCTTGCTAGCTGATTTTGGCCTTCATTTTTGGCTGTTTTTCTCACTCTGGAGGGCGAAAAACAGCCCTACGGGCAACCTGGAAGTTGGAAAATGGTCCATTTCCGGCCTCTGGAGGGCCTGCGGCAGGGCGGGAGAGACCATTTTCACCCCCCCCCCTCGGCTCCTAGAAAGCCTCTGGAGCCTGGGGAGGACAAAAAACGGGTTCACCGTGCCATCACGCTCCAAGAGCAGGAGGGGAAGGGTGTTGCGCGCATGACACTCCCCCCATGCTCACCCCGCTTTTGGCACGCGATGGCAAAAAGGTTAGCTATCACTGGCTTACGCCCAGCCTCTGTTATATTCCTTTCTCAGACTCTTCACAACTTCTCAAAAGTTAGATCTTATTGCAGGGAGACACTTATGCTAATGTAATCCTGGTAATTTAAGATAGGATGATGTTAAGTATTTTGTGCTTTATTCTAAATTTCATACTATACATTGCTAGAAGTTCATTTGGGAACTTTTTATTTGCATATGTATTTAAAAGCAAGACAACCAACATATTTTTTTTTTAAAAAAAATCCATAAATGTTAAATGAAAGTCTAGCAGTAATTGTATTTCAAATAACAAAAATCCTTATTGCTGTTTCCTTACTCAATTTATCATCTATGCTCACAAATTCTACTTCACTTCTCTTGTATTTACGGCAACTGAAATTCCTAATCTTATATCTAATTAAGAAGCACATGACAATTAAATTAATTTTATCTCAAATCTCCAACTAAACAATGTAGACACGTAAGTAAACATACTTTTTAACCACAGGCTGGCAGGTGTTAGCTCTCATGCCAGAGTCCTGTAGTATTTTGTAGCTTTTAGTTTTCATTAAAAGTTTGGAAGCTTGCAGGAGCTTATCACTGTATTTCAAACTGCAAACCAAACATAGCAGTAACTCTATTGGGCATTTTGGGCATCAAGACCATTTCTTAAAACCTGAAGTTGTAAAAGCGCAACTTTACCTTGAAAAACGAGGAATGCGTAGAACCCCAGTAATCTGATGGAAACTCTTGAATTGATCATGGCTTGTAATTAAAGCTTTTCTGCACTGTCAGGTTTGGCAAATCGTTCAGCTCTTGACAAGCTTTCAAGCCGGACTCTTCAGAGAAATCTGAGCAGTTTGGCAGTCAGCTGAATCCAACATTTAATTCTTCCAGTTTTTCTTCTGAAAAAAGAAATGAAACGAAAAAATTTGAATAGATAATAAACTCCATCATCTGAAAGGAATAGAAAAGTTTCACATGGCTAATACACAATAAGGTCTTAAAATAAGTATATGAAGACAATATGTATTGTCTATATATAGAGACCAGGGGTCAGCAACCTGTGGCTCTGGAGCCGCATGTGGCTCTTTCATCCCTCTACTGCGGCTATCTGTTGTTCAAAATATGTGTCACAACCACGAATGTGAGACACCCACCGGCACACAATTTATTGATCTTTTCGACCCCCGGTAGGCCAACCATGAATAAATCCAAGAACAGAAAAGTTTCAGAAGAAAACAGAATGTTTAATTTAACTACATAGACTACTTTTGTGGCCCCTCATAAAACAGTCAGGCACGGGAAGGATTTTGTGGCTCCCGGTATTTTCTTTTCTGTGGGAAACAGGTCCAAATGACTCTTTGAGTGTGTTGCCGACCCCTGATATAGACAAAATAAAATAGCCCTTGTATTTTATACACATTGACTGAGTGAATCTATATCAGCTGCAATGGCCAGAACATGAATTTATGTACTTCTATGTGCTGTATCTTTTGGAGTAGAAGACACACCAAGGTTTTGAAGAGGCAAATTAAAAAAAAAGTTTTTTCACTCTGCAAACCTCCCAAAAACGGCCCATTTTTCCCCAAGCAAAGGGCATGAATAGCCCTTAGGAGGCTTGTAGAGTGTTCCTAGGAGTGTGGGGCCCCCCAAAACGAGCAAAAAAATGGCCTGTTTTTCACGAAAATGGGCCCGTTTTTTGGTTGAAAAAAACGGGCATTAGGAAGCTTATAGAGTGCTCCTGGTGACTTGGGGGGGGGGGGGGGGGGGGGNAGCCTCCAGTCCTCTAGTCATCCTTGTTACTCTTCTCTGTCCTCTTTCCAGAGTCTCAACATCTTTTTCATATTGTGGCTACCAAAACTGGATGCACTATTCCAAGTGGGGTCTTACTAAGGCTTTATAGTAGTGGTACTTATACTTCACGTCATCTTGATTCTATCCCTCTGTTAATGCAACCTAGAATTTCAACATCAGTCCACAATCTCTGTCAAACCTATGGGAATGATCTCAAGCCCCCCCCCCCAAAAAAGGGGGGGGGAATGCAGAATACTTTCATTTTATCAGCTGGGTGGATTTGATTTAAATCAAGTTGATTTAAATCACGGTTTAAATCACCAGTAAAAAGGCTTGTTTTAAATCAACTCAATTTAAATCATGATTTTTAAAGAGTCACTGTCCCGCAGCGGCTGCTCCTCTGATCCGCTGTTGACTCACCGACAGTCCCAATATTGCAGAATGTACAACCTCATGCTACATAATTAAGCTCCATATACTGCTGAATAAACTAAATTATGAATGTATTTTAAATAGAAAACTATCTTTAGATAGATTTTTACTTCATAAGCATTTTATTAAAATAAATTTGATTAAAAAATCCGATTTAAATTTAATTTTTTTTTTAAAAAAATCGATTTTTATCCACCCTGATCAGCTGTGCCACAGATAGGCTTTGCATTCTGTAGTATTCCGTGCTAATGACAGATTATGATCAGGGATATTTAAGTAATATACATGTGACTTTGATATTCTTTGAGACAATCTCGTAACCACGGGCACAATGCAGAATGAATATAAGTATAATCTTTATTGTCATTGTAATTAAATACAATGAAATTGGTTGGAGAAGCCCCTACATTTCGTTCAGCAGGTAATTTTATACCGTAATGGGACAAAACTATTTGAAAAGTTTATGGCAAGGACAAAGAATTCTCTTTTCCAGTAATTTCATTTCTCTGGCCTAAAACATCTCAGCTGCATCCCAAGGGCAGAAGCCAGTACACAACACACACACACACACACACACACACACACACACACACACACAAACAATCTCAATGTCTACACAAATATTAAATAGGCAAAGTCTAGTTTTACAGCAAAGTTCAATCTAAGGACATTTTCTCCATATGTCAAACAAACAAGCACATGCTGAGTTTCCAGTTTAAAACAAAGTAAAGATAAAGGTTTTCACTGTTTTCAGTGCATGAAATAAAGCAGTATTTCCCAACCGTGTCAACTTCAAGATGGGTGGACTCCAACTCCCAGAATTCCCAAGCTGGGGGATTCTGGGAGTTCAAATCTACTCATCTTGAAGTTGACACGGTTGAGAAACATTGGAATAAAGCGTAGTTGAAAGAAACTGGAATTCTTAGCTCTAAATTATCGGAAATACAACCGCTATTTCTACAAACTGACAAACCTATCATATAAAACATCTCCTCCTCTCCTTTATATTACTATAAAGGTTTTCCTTTGGAGCCAAAGCATTGATTCAATGAGCTGTCATTGCAGGGGTTGATTTGAAAGGCACTCTGCACGTGAACGGAAACAATCCTGCCACAGGAAAAGAACACACCCAGGGGACCAAGCATGGGGCAAGGAAATGGGCAGCATGGGATCTGTTATTGCTGAAGAGACAGAGAGCGATGTGCAAGATCCCTCTAGTCTAGTCTTTCTCTCTCACACACACTTCTTTGCAATTAGGTCTCATCAACACACAGGTTATTTGCTTGTGTATCTGTGTAATTTTTGAAAGAAGGCAAGCACATGACAACTACTGCAGGGAGTTGGGGGTGGAAAAAGCAAAAGGCCAGGGAAGGTTTTTCAAAATAGAAGGAAAGGAGTGGGGACCATTCGCAAAGAGGTCCCTGGCTGTCTATCAACTTGAATGGGAGGTGTGCAATGAAAACTGCATCCACCAATCAAAGCCCTGTTCTGCCCATTGCTTGCTTTGGTGCATGTGCGGCAGTGCTTTTGTCTATGCTGGGGCGATGGCACGCATGCCCACATAGAGGGATCTGCATGCCAACTGTGGCACACGTGCTGTAGGTTCGTGCTTGAACAGGGGGTTGGACTAGAAGACCTCCAAGGTCCCTTTATTCTATTCTATTCTGCATTCTACTCTACTCTATTTGCATTTTCATCTTCCTGTCTCAGTGTTTGTTGACAAGGAAATCAGCTGCAATAATCTAATACTTCAAATGGATCTGAGATCATTAGTGCTGATGGTTTCTAAACACTGTTCTTGATTTCCCAATAACTGCATTGACTGAAAACCAGGGAAATCATTAAATCACACTGACTGAAAATAAATAACAAATAACGGCAAAAGAACCACTTAAGTGGACTGACATAAACCACAAACATCACACTTGCATTCAGGTGTGGAAATGGCCAGGAACGAAATCAGAATAAATATTATACAAATAAATTTGGCACGCCTGTTAATAGGATGCACAACTGAAGTTGGTGCTTGTTTAAGTAGCACACTGCTCCAAGGAACCCACCACCAGACAACTATGTGAGACAAACGTACTTAAATATTGACGAACTTATGGCATGGGCATATATCAGGACCCGGGCCTGTCTAATTTAATGAAAAGAAGAACTAGGGGTGACATGATATCGGTCACAATATCTCTATCGGTTCCAATATCTCAGGGGCTGTCACAAAGAAGATGGGTCAACCTATTCTCCAAAGCACCTGAAGGCAGGACAATCAGCAACGGATGGAAACTAATTAAGGAAAGATGCAATCTGGAATTAAGGAGAAACTTCCTAACAGTGAGGATCCTGTAGAGATCCGGACCCTTACCACCCTCCCGGCCTTCCGTAAAGCCACCAAGACCTGGCTGTTCCGGCAGGCCTGGGGCTGTTGATCAATATCCAGCCCCACTTAGACGGAATGCATGATGTGGAATTTTAACAATTGTATTTTTTATTTTTTTATTTTTAATTGTTTCTTTTTACCTTGCCTGTAAGCCGCCCAGAGTCCCAAGGGAGTGGGCGGTATACAAATCTTATTAAACTAAACTAAACTT